CATATTACCCAACAAACTTTGGTAATATTAAGTTCGGAAAAAGTGGAGACTTGTCCTATGAGCAAAAAAAATTAGCAAGCCTTACATTTTTATTTTTCAACATCCTCATCTGAAGCAGTCGAGCAAGAATTGATTTCTCCTGTGCTGAGTCAGATGCATTTCCATAGTTTAAACCAACAAGGATCAAAAGCTGCATGGCCAGACGTTGAAGCTGAAAGTAGGCAATGCATGTAACGTCACAAAAAGCTTTTATAGAATTGTAACCAAATAAAAGTTCATATAAATCTGGCTTTCAAAATGTGAGACAGTGTTATATCCTAGGAAAATATACACATACTTTGACATGTTGTAGCCACCCATCAATCCTCTTCACCACATTGAATCTAACATCCGGAAGTGCCATAAGAGGTGCTAAAGCACGTAAGAAAAGCATCGGTGTCATGTCAGCACGCAGCTCCCACCAAGGAGCTAGTGCGTTGAGAGCTATTGTAGCGATTTCCTCCTTTGCTTGAGGAGATGGGTATCGATCAGACGCAATCTCAAAATAAAATTTAGGTGGAAATATCACCAAAAATAAGTGAAGAGCTTACGGCTAGGCCATCTGGGATAAAATCAACATCAATTTCCAGATTACAAGAAGTGAACATATCCTTTGTAGGGTAAATGGTCCCTAACGACTTGATAATTTGCGTTGAGATAAACGAAGTGTTTGGCTAGAACGAAGGAAGAAAACAGTTCGAATGAAAATAAAAGTAAGCTGCTATACCCACCTTATTTACCCAATTTCGATCCCCAAGTGAATCATGGAGAAAAGCAGTGACATAATAAGGATCCCAGGTTGCTTGGCCACTAGCTAAAGTCACAGCCATAGCCGAGATCAGAGCCTGCCGCTCAGCACTCATTGGCTTCATGCGACACATCAAATTTAATAAACACTTTTGTAGAGCAACGTGCTAGAAGGATAAAAAGATAGAGACACATAGAAGGAAGGAAAACATAGCAGATTTTACCTGGATTTTCTCACTGTATTCTTTCAAAGTTATTGCAGCCATCGTGAGAAGTTGGTATTCAATAAAAAATTTCCCTTGATCAGCTTTCTTGTCTATGAAGGTG